TATATATATATATGTATGTATGTGTGTGTGTGTGTGTTTCTCACACAGATACACACACACACACACTTACACACAAATGCTCTTTCTCTCTCTCTGCCGGATGAACAATTAACAATGCGTTGCCTTTCGTCTAACAAAAGGGTATGACAATGATAAAATGAGATAATAAATATTTATTACAAAATGGGCATCATTCAACTCTTGATCTCTCTCTTCTGTCATCCACTCATCCTTTATAATACAAAATTGATACATATTTTTAAGCAGGCCAAAATACGTTTATAGCAAATCAACTTTATTGGAGAGCAGCTTTCACGTTGACCGATGACTTATGGACTACACATTCTCAATTTACACCTATTTTGTTTACTTTTTTCCATGATGCCATATTCATAACTAGAATTTAGAGGTGTTAGATCGTAATGGAAACATAACTTATATATGTCCATATGAATGCCTTAGTAAATTTAACTAAATTTTGAAAATGGATTTTTGCAATGTTCTCATACTTAGAACAAAGGCATGAGAAATGCTTTATATATTATATTATGTTCACACAAAATGAGCAATATCTAGCATCTTTTGGGGTAACAGATATTGTGTCAAGGCCAATTTAAATTTGCTAATAATTAGCACTGATTCTCATCTGGGTCATTTTGTAGTCTTTTTCGAACAAAATAAGAGCTTTATTTTTAAAAAATGTTGATGTAAGAAAATAATTTAGGACACTTATGTACTTTATGCCATCAGTTTATCTTTAGAAAGTCTACTCGAGTTTTACAGAAACAGGGTAGTGGGAGTTGAGCCTCCACAATTCCCATCAAGAAATGTATTTTTTTTTTTTAGAAAAGAACCAGAATTAACCCAAATGCATGGTGTAAATGACTACAATGGGAACATAAAACCTCAAAGATTGTAACAGGGATGCATACTTTTAAAACTATTAGCTATGATACATTGACAGTAGCTATCTGGATTGTTGCTCGAGTAATTTTATTGTACTGACGGTCGGTGAGCTTGTGGTATTTTAAAAGATAATATGTCCGTAATCGATTAAATTGCGCGGTAGAAAATCTAATGTGATCTTTAAATGAATATAGATATATTGGGAACAGAATTAGCGAAGGATTTTAAATATTTTTTTCATTCTCTCTCTCTCTCTCTCTCTCTCTCTCTCTCTCTCTCTCTCTCTCTCTCTCTCTCTCTCTCTCTCTCTCTCTCTCTCTCTCTCTCTCTCTCTCTCTCTCTCTCTCTCCTAACGTCAGCAAAAGTCTCGGTCCACAAAATCAATTAAAATATATGCCAATTATCGGAATTTCTGAGAGAACAATTTTAATGAAAATCTTCAGTGCGAAGAGAATCGATACCGCTCGTTGCTAATATTCAAAGTGAGTGATAAACTGCGACCACTGAAATGGAATGAGTTGGTGTAAGCTAGGTGGGAATATCTTCTTTTCAGCGGGGTTGCCGATCATTCCCAGATGGCATTTAATATTCGTTCTTAATGCGAAATGACCTTTAAAACCTACCTTTCTGAACTTTTTATATTCAATTAAGGTTGATACAACCGATCACGCTCTTGGCAATGTTATAAGGCACATCAAGTCTTCATAATTTTATTACTGCGAAAGGCACTCGAAACTAAGATAATGGCAGTATATTATAGTAGAAATGACACTTTCTTGAAGTTGGGAACTCAATTTAAAATGTCTATTTAGTCCTAACTCTTAAGTTCCAGATACGAGTAATATGGGGAAGGCAATAAAGGCTGTAACCTAAGCTAGCTATAACGAAGTTTGCATCTCAATGAATTGTTAGAATGATTACTAAACAACATTATTATAATGGTGGGATAATTAACGTACGAAGCCTTAAACATATTTGTGCGTACTTCAATAGATGCCGATTAGTTTTTACAACTAGTCACGTTATACTCTCATTATCCACAACCCGTCAATTCCAAATCGCGTGGTAAGGCGGTATTATTTAAATGTTCACTAGCGGTATTAAAACAAGGTCACCTAACAAATCTTACTATACTGAATTGACGCATGATTCCCAATATTAGTCTTTCAAGGATTTCATTTGCAAATGCAAACAGTAAAACCCAATTGATATTGTAGTAAATAAATATTTTCTCTATAAAAAAAGGGACCAGAACTCAGCTTACCATGCAGGATTGTCTTCCAGATTGATTACAAATCAAACTTTTGTCCGCTTCGATATTTTCTTCGGCTGAATATTTGGTCCCTTTTCACGATTAATGAGAATAAATTATAAATAAAATCCGCATATCAAAAGTTAATCATCACGAATGTTCCATCCGACCTCGGTAGTATTCTACCTGAATCGTGCATGATCGAAAATGAATTGATCTGTATGCAAATGGTACGCAACGAACTTCTATAAATCTATATTATCTCTCAAGCCTAAAGTAAACAGTGGTTTAAAAGCTTTTATACTCATACCGACGTATAGATAATATTACGTGACTATCTCAATAAAGGAAATTATTTACCAGCCTATCAACATACATTTTGTTGAATGTTGTTTTTGTGGGTTTTTTTTCTTCGATCAATCGATCATTTAAGTTGGAATTAATGTGCTGACATATTTCAAAGAAAGCACACATTCGTTCAATGTAATAACGCAAACATTTGTGAAAAGCATATTACTGATTGATTTATTCGCCGATTACAATCAACTGGCCTTATTTACCAGGAATATTGCGACAGTCCGACCTATGATCTGTTCGTATCCATCTTTTCCTAAAGCTATGGATGGAAATTAACTACATTAACACATCATATTGTCAACATATCCAATTTTTCAAAGGAATGGCACCTTACGGGGCCGAAAAGAATTTCCAGAAATTTAAGCTAAAGTTATTTCTTTCATTTAACTGATACGCCTATAAACTATTACTGACATTCTTCAGTGATGGAAAGATTTTCAATTTAGCTCTTGTGGTGGACATATTGGATTTAAAGTGGGCACGATTTTCAGTTTGGGTCAAGCAGACATCATTTTAAATCTTTGGTGACCGTCCCCCCCACCATACCAATATGATCTCCATTTAGAGTAAGTAGTTACACGATTTGAAGACGGCAGTCATATTTGATGCACGATGACTCCATTTTCATAAAGTACTAACTAGGAGTCATAAGACTTTTTATGAAAACTTTGTTTCAATGAGCATTTTATTTGGGAAAGCTAGCGATGACAATATTTTAAGACGGCTAACATGGTGACCATATTGATTAACAGGTAGCATCATTATCATCGAGGACCGTTTATACTCATAAGAACTCATCTGGTGAAATTCCCAAGCCAAAATGGCTTTCTATTTAAATGAAGTAATGACATTTAAATGACAGTAATGACGAATACCCGATACCCTGATAAGAACTTGCACGTAAATTGAGATCTCTCAGTTGTTTATGTTGTTGTTTATACCACTTTAGAAATTAGCTCCTTATGAAATTAAGCCGCTTTAAAATGCTTGTTCTTTTGGTCCGGGCATAAAGCTACCAACAATCAGTTGAGATGAATAGGTCTGCTCTTAGGTACGCAGGATCTAATAAATCCATTCTTTCGAAGAACTTCCGTTTGGTTTTGCACGCATACATCATGAATCTACACTCGGAAATAAATATATGCATATGCGCGGCCTTTAGCATGCTCGATTTACTTCGGCTTCCTTGTTAAGGGAGACAGCTGCGTCTTTCTTTCTTTTTTTTTTTTTTTAAATGCGGGCTAATACTGACACATGTACGAACAGCAACATTTGTGGTAGTGAAAACAGATTCAGCAACAGCATCCTTGGTGGTGGTGGTAGTAGTAGTAGTAGTAGTAATGATGAAAATGCAGGTGTAGCACACTCACATAGTCCTTTGTCAGATTTTGAAGGAAATAGATTTACAAAAGACTTAATATATCTTTCCTTATCAAACACCCAGTTTCCTTATTTGTTCAAAATTTTTTGGCAAAAGAAACCTCTTATTTTATAATCAATGTTCACATGCCAGGTGAAAACTGGATGTCATTAATTATGTAAATATATTAAGACGGCTAACATGGTGACCATATTGATTAACAGGTAGCATCATTATCATCGAGGACCATTTATACTCATAAGAACTCATCTGGTGAAATCCCCAAGCCAAAATGGCTTTCTATTTAAATGAAGTAATGACAGCAAGATTTTCAATATGGCAGCCTTGGTGGCCATATTTGATATCAGATCGGCATCACTATATGTTTGGAACAAGATATCTTAGGAATTTTTTTTTTTTGGGGCAAAAACTTCATTATGACATGGCTTCCTTTTTATAGAATGTAACGAACATTATATTATCAAGACGGCTGCCATATTGGATATCAGGCTGGAACAATTTTCATAGAGGATTCAACAGACATCTAAGCAGTGTTTAGGAGCAACTACATTGTCAGTATGACTAGCAGTCTGGGATAAATATGGATAGCAAGATTTTTGAAGACAACTATTATGGCTGTCATATTGGATGTTAGATCAGAAACATTTTTATTTTTGACTCATCACACAGATAAGATATCTTCCCGAGAAAATTCAATACGGACATCAATTCTGAAGTATTAATACTATTTTTAAGACTGCCACTCTGACAACTATATTGGATGTCTGAGCTGCACCATTTTCATTTAGGACCAATCTAACATCATGTCATCTGGTAAAAGCCCCATGCTGATAATGACAATAGATTAAATAGTGATAAAAAAAATTCAAAATGACCATCACTAATCAAAATGACTGCTCCCATGTGTCCAAAAATCAGCCTGAACTAGTTGAAGTACAGAATGTTACAGTTATAAAACAGGGAAAACTAATTTTGCCAGACAATACCAGATTCTGAAAGTGCAATGAATGAATTATAACCAGACCGACCAGTCCTAACACTAAACTCTTAATGCTGAGTGCCTAGCGAGGCAGCTGTTAGTATCATTTTTATAAGTATCTGACATGACTCGGCCAGGGTTCGAACCTGCAAACTCCCACATCCAAGGCGGACGCTGTAACCACTAGGCCACCGGAGCGGTCTAACCAAATGGAGCCAGTAGTTTTTTTGACACAATGCACGTTTGAAGTAATGTCCACAATTGTCTGACATTTTCTGAATTCTATACAAAAAATTTAGCCAAATTTTGCTTAATGTCTTGCTAAATTTTCTGTACTTTTATGCTCGCTAAATATGAGTGATTTACAGTAACAAATATTTGCATTAGTTTTATTGATCAAGTGTTTACGGTCATGCAAAAGAATGATGTTTTACTGTTGTTACACTTTTAAGATCTAGTGCTGAAAGTGCTTCTAAGTTGTGCAATAACTAATGAAAAAGTAAAAATTGTTAATGGCCTGTCTGTTAATGGGCAACAATCACTTCTAAAACAGGAATTGGGATGTAAACTTATTGCTTGATTCTAATACAAGGTCGAATGGCTATGCCATGCTGCACAATCAAATGTAATAATGGACTATACAAGTGTGTATAAATTGTATCTGCTGAGAGGTTAACCTGCAATGGATTGCTTCCAGTTTCACAAGTTTCTTCCTCAGACTGAATTTCTTTGTCAGCATCTGTGTTATGGTCATGTTCGCAACAGTTGTACACAAAACAATATACAGGTTTTAAGGATTAAAATATAGATCATAACATTCTGTATTATCCATGAAAAAATCTAAATAGATTCTACAATTTTCAAAAATTAATACTTAACTTTTCTTTTTCTGAAAATTATAAAGGCATTCAAGTAAATACATTTACAACTGCAAGGTCACTTTTATTTTGTTGGCTAATAGATATCTTTTTAAAATGCCAACATTTTCTGAAATATAAGCAAGACAACACAGAACCTCAATTTCTGTAAAAGTTCTCAATAACCGAGTGACTCTTGAACCTAATGTCCCATCCAGAAGGAGTCACTTCACAAAATGTCAAACTTTCAACTTTATGTGAATGGGATGTTGTAACTATTGCAATGTTCTCTAACATTTTTATTTTGAAAGCATAACATTGATCCACACATTTCAATCAAACTTGGTATATATATATATATATATATATATATATATATATATATATATATATATATATATATATATATATATAAGTATAGCGTTAAAATCTAAATCACACACACTAAATCACAAACTGCTTAAAAGTGCCTTTTCATACTTGGAATTTGGCCACATTAAATATTTGTAAGTGTATCAAAATATTTTATAGACCGAGTGTGCTTGAACAAAGGGTACTAACATAAGTAGTATAAATATATAAATTATAAATTATATAATGTATAATCCTGAACCATAAAGTACTTTTTGTACAAGCCTCTGGGGTCCTGGGTAGCTGAGTGGTCTAAAGTGATTGCCTTTACTTTGAAATCGACATTTCCGTCTGCATGGTTCGAATTTCAGGTTTGGTCAAGAAGGATAATTGATAAAAGCTTATCAGTTGTTTCCCGGTGAATCTTACCAGAGTATTCCAAGATACATTGTCAACCAGTTATATTGGCTGCCATGAATAGCCTATAGTGTGCTGAAAAATGGTGTTAAATGCACACAGCAGCAACAAAAAGTAATAACCTTTATATAATTTGCAAAATGGTGAAAATTTCCATTGGAAGGTAAAAATTTGCTTTGCTTATTGACCTGGATTTCATTTCATATTTAAAAGTTTTACATTCAATATTTATGGACATTCAATAGTTATAAATGTCACCATTAAAGTGAAGCATAAGCATTTATATAAACTGACTATGCTTCGCCAAGGGTTATTAGTGCAAGTAGTACAAAAATGTAAATACTGGATCATATGGTACTTTTAGTAATTCTGGCACCTATTTACACCATCAATTTTAAATTAAAAAAAAGTTGCCATATTTAGAAGACCTTAGACTTTATCATAAGGAAAACATTGCATACAGTTGGTATTTCAAGACTTTATATAGTAGTATAGAACAACCAAGGCCAGCAGTGCCATATTTGCTGGCCTATAGGTTGATGTAGATTGGTATAAAAAACAATCAAGGTTAGTAGTAATGTGCTTAAATTAATCTTGTTTCATCAAATGAATGTCTCCCCAAACATCCCATATATAACAATTCTTGAATAAGTAATGAACTAATTTCATAATTATTCTTACTAGCATTGCTTCAATGGAATCAATTACAGATGACTGAGAAAAGGGTCTGTATGACACCTGGGCCCCAGCTATGATTGTATAACAGAATAGGACCCCAGGCAATGTACAGAAATCATGGATCAAAGAGCAACAGGTAAAGGGTTTGAAGGGTATGACTCCAGCTTGTTTTACTGGCAGTCATCTCAAAACCAGGGGTCAAAGCATAAATCACAAAAATACATTAAAATGGTAAATGTTTCTGGCCCCAAACGTGATTGAACTCAATAATTTACATTATTTTGAACCCTGGCCTATTAACAGCAATCAGATTTAAAGATAATGCTAATTATGCAAGGCTTTATCCCATTTTAAAGCTACTAATGGATGTCACTATGTCATTTTGGTGAATTTCAGGTTTTCAATAATTACATGTTGACCTCCAACTGCAAAACGGCTGTCTACATGCTGAAAGAAAAGTGGGAAAGGTCAGAGAAAACTTAATACTATTCAATTATTTCTCTAACAAACAGTAAATAGAGAAGCACAAGTCTCTTGACAGGACTATTTTTCTTCATGCCATATGACTTTTCCTGGAATCCAAGATATGTCTTTTTCTTTGTTTTAACTACCAAGTATTGAAACCATCTCTGATACTATGGAGAAACTCTAACAAACCAAATGTGATTGAAAAACTGCTTCTTATGTCTGATTTAATAAGCATATCTGTATATAATGCACACTTAATTTTGTTACAAACTCTGACATTGAGCATTATATCATTAATAGATCATGGAAATCATCTCAGACAATGACAAGATATAACAGCGCAGCTTCAGTTAAATTGATATGCAATAGTTGCTGGGAAAAATCAAAGTTACTGGAGTGATATCATTCAAGATGTATGCACAATATGGGTTAAATGATAAAGATTCCTTAATACCTGTCTGTAGTACCATGATTAACAGCCAATACAGATAACAGAATAAGTTATGACCTTTGACCTAAAACAATCAGTGTCTAAATGCTGACTTTGAAGTTGTTCATTGGAAAGCAATTATATACAAAGTATGGAAAAAATCCACTTGTGTGTGTAACAGTGATTATTTTCACAATCTCAGGAAAGAATAAAAATGCAAGCAATGACCTATGACTTGGCCACAAGGTCAACTGGGTCTGGTTTTTTAAAGTAGTCATACAAATGCTGTTATGTTCGTGGTCAAATCTGCAACATATTTCTATTAAAATTACTACTACTGCAATAAGCATTTTTGTGAAAAGCACATGTCAATATCTGCAAAAGGAGCAGTGATAACATGATCTTCAAGATGACCACTACTGTGACATGTTGTAGGTGAGAAAAGCACCATTTTCATCAATGGCGTAATTTGTTTTTGTACTTTTTGAGGTTTAACACCATTTTTAGCAAATGACAGGCTTCATTTTCAGTCAGACATACATACTGTATTAGTTTTTTAGTGATTCCCAACATCACTATGACCATCCATTTAGAAGAAGCAGCCATAAAAATTTCTTGCCTGCCTTCCAAGCAAATATCTGGAGTTTACATTGCATCATGTTAATACAGGAACAACTATAGAGAGTAAAGCTCAAGTTTTGTTTTCATATGTCAGTATGGTCATGAGTTCTGGAGAAGTAACTGAAACAAGATTTAATAAATAGTGGGAGGTCAACATGGCATAATTTTCATTGGAACCAACAATATACAGTGAGAAATGTTTTAGCAAAACCTCATATCAATATGATCTTCCCATACAGAGGTAAAGTGACCAACCAGATACTGTAATGAGTCTTTTAGTGAAAACCCAATGTCAATAGGCCCATTTCTCAGAAATAGCAATAAAAAGGTCATCAAAATATAGTAAGTGCAAGCACCAAAATGACCCACAAGGCAACTGTACCTCAAATGAATAAGTTTTGTAGCTTTCAAAAATGTTGGCAAGACCTGAACAAATTTAATTCATGATCAGTTCAACTATGATTTAATTACTTATTTCTGCAATGAATAGGTTTGTAAACATTCATTTATGTATGTATGTATGTATGTATGTATGTATGTATGTATGTATGTATGTATGTATGTATGTATGTATGTATGTATGTATGTATGTAGGGCTTAACATCATTTTTCAGCACACGACAGGCTATACATGGTGGCCAGTATTAATGATGGAGGAAGAAACTGGGAAATCACCGGAAAGAACAACTGACTCACAAGAAGCTTTTGGCAAACTTTCTCACATATCCATATTTGCCGAATCCTGAGACGGCATTTATCCATAAGAGACAGCGCTTTAGAACACTCTGCCACTCGAGGCCCCTATGTATGTATGTATGTATGTATATATGTATGTATGTATGTATGTATGTATGTATGTATGTATGTATGTATGTATGTATGTATGTATGTATGTATGTATGTATGATGTATGTATGTATGTATGTATGTATGTATGTATGTATGTATGTATGTATGTATGTATGTATGTATGCATGCATGCATGCATGCATGCATGCATGCATGCATGCATGCATGCATGCATGCATGTATGTATGTATGTATGTATGTATGTATGTATGTATGTATGAATACCAAATAAATTAAAAGTTCTAACAACATAGAACTAAAGAATTACACTAATAATGTTTTTGGAAATAAACCCTTGCAAATAAATGCACTGATAAACAAATTTGTGATAAAGGAAACTTGACACTGGACAACAAATGGAAAGCTATCGCATAAGCATTACTAAGACCGGTATAGCTAAAAATATGACTAGACCAAAAGTTTTTTCTCAGATTTATACACACAAGATTTTATCAGAAACAAACAACAGGCTATTCTTTACAGGAAACAAATCTGACAACTATTTCTTATCAGTTGAGTCTGATCTAGTTT